GTGGTGGTGGTGGTGGATGAGCCATGCCCAGCTGCAGTGACAACCACGACACAAGGAAAAAAAGAAGCAGGGCTTCCAATGCACACACACCATCTTGATGTTTTTGATCCTCCCTGCAGATGCCCCTACCTGGCTTGACAGCAAAGTCCTCCAACATCTTGACTTGCCAAATCCTTCAATTCAGAAAGCTGCCTCCCTCTGACCAATAGTAGATCCTCAACTAGATGCAAGGCGACAAGAGGGGAAGTCTGTCTGGTGTCTCCCAGAAGACATACTAAGTCCAAGCTGATGCCAAGGAGGCATTTACCTCAGAGGGTCGCAGCACCAAGGTCTACTCACTAAGGCACACTAAAGGAGGGCTAAGCACGACAGCACACAAGGGGTCCCATAGGCCTCTCATCATTCCAAAACACAGCAACTCCTCCAAACTGAATTTAAAAGTAACACAATAAAATGGCAGCACTCTCAAGAGATCACCAACATTTCACAGGTTTGGGCTAGCCATTTGCAAGATCTCATTTAGTATCAGGATGGGGATCCTGACACCTCATGAAGCTGGGGGGGTGGTTCTGATGTCAGAGACTTGCAAAGAGGGCTGCCCCTTAATTGGCACTGGAGATTAAAATTGATGGTGCTCAGTTCCTTGACTTTTAGCTTGTTCCATCTCAATCCCCCATCAGTACATGGATTTCTTGAAGTCTGCCAGAAAAGTGCATATTTTTCCCATTCTTCTAAAAGCACTAATCTTTAGTTTTCCAAATATGCACTTTTTCAAGTAAAACATGTGCTGTGAGATAGACTCCTAGGGACTTCACAGACACATCCATGTGGTTTTCTTGGCAAATATTAGCATTTCTATAAAAGTGATATTAGCATTTTAGCATGGCATTTGTGCCCCCTCTTGATGTTTAGGAAACCATGTTTTTCAGCCAAAGCCATTTCTTTTGATGTGCAAAACCTAGCTCTTTCAGGGACCATTGGTCAAACAATAGGGCTGTATTCTGAAGTCCTTGAGTGTTGCAAGGGTTAAAGAAACAAACCTGGGTGGGAAAGGAGATGCAATGTATGTGATGCATATATCAAATGCATGTATCATTTGCTTCTGCACCCTATATAAAGACTTGACTCCTCCCCTTAATAAAGGCCTTTCACTTTGCCTGAAGTACTTGTGGTTTGTATCGTTGGGGAGCAAAAAAGTCACTTTTTTGTAGTGGGTGTTTCTCTCTCAACTTTCTTTCCAGCTCCACACCAACTTGGGTCCCTGAATTTTATGGGCAACAGTACTAACACTGTGGTTTGCCACAGCCTTCCTCCACAATGTGGATTCGACTTGTCTTGGCCAAGGTACTAAGCAACTTACTTTGGCTTCAGCCAAGGTCAGCTAGATGCTGCCATCTGCTTAAACTGAACCCCGTGCCCAAAAGCTTTTCTGCTGGCACAGATGGGCACATCATTTAAACCAAGTTTTCTGAACAGCAGTTTAGACTTTTCGGAATGCTAAACTTTCAAATAAACAAGAGAGAGAAAAGACAGTATGTTTCTTCAGACCTTTTGTGTTTCTGAGACTTCCCTCCACTGTGCCAAGCTAGCGGGGACCAATAGGTGGTGTTCTGGGATCCAGACCAGGATGCCCGTCTGATTTGAACCCCGTTATCAATGCCTATTGTTCCCATTGGGGATGCCGTTGCTGCCCCCCTCTGCCCCATTCTGTTGCTTCTGCAGCAGCTGCCAGTAGAGCCCCTTCTGCTCCATCAGCTCCTTGTAAGTCCCCTTCTCGCAAATCTCCCCATCTTCCATGACCAGGATGAGATCGGCACGCTCCACACTGCGAAGTCGGTGGGAGATAAGGAGAACGGAGCGTGTGCAGCGAGCTGCTCCTTCGTAGATCTCCTCCTCTACCTACAGGAGGCCAAGATGGGGTGTATGAAGGAGAAGTGTTAGAGAAGCAGAAAAAAGGGGAACCACGGAGACTTGGGCTGGGTCAGAGAGAAAGTAAAGAAGTTGGGCATCGGGAAAAAAAAGTGATCTCACCCACTTTTAACTCTGGTTCCTCCCATGCTTCCTCATCCTTCTTACTATATGTCCCCCCTATAGAAGGACCCTGAGAGAATGCAGCCCTTGAAAGAGGAAAGGGAGCCCAGCCCTCCTACAGGAGATAAAGTATCACTCACCTGATATAAAGAAAATCAAGATGGGGAAGTTTCATTTATAACTTAAGCCAGGTAAGAGAGTAAGCAAAGGCCCGTTTTCCCAGGCTGGGGGCTTCAGGTGTGTTGGGGCTGCAAATCCTGCAATTCCCAGCAAGCACAATTCAACCCCCTCCCTTCCCCCCACCCCCAATAAAGGTCTTCCCATAGGAAATGGGAAAGGGGGTCTGACTCAGTTCCACCCGCTACCCCGACTGCAGTTGGGCTGAGCAGAAAGAGTTCTCCGAGTCTAAAATTTCACAACTCAAGTGGCTCAAAGAAATTCTTCTCAACATTTATGCAATTTCCTCTTCCCTTTGCCACATTCACTTTACTTCTTAAATTCCACCCATAGTTCCTCCCAGAAAACCTGATGCCCGGTTCTCACCTGTTGCTGACTCTCCATGTCCAAGGCACTGGTGGCATCATCCAGAATCAGCACTTTGGGGTCTCGGATCAAAGCCTGGGCCAGAGCAACCCCTTGCTTCTGCCCCCCAGAAATCTGGCCCCCTGCTTCCCCAGCATCTGCAGGAAGAGGCAGAAATGGAGGAATTCTTCAATAATTCAGATGCTTCCAAACTCTCCCATCAGCAGTCCAGCCCTGCTCCTGTTTATCCATTTTAATTCTACGGGCTGCCTTTGGTTCATTAATCCCTCAATAGCTTAAGTCTGGAATAGTGATCCCTTTTTATATCCAATCATCATTCCTCAGCAACCCTTTTGGCATCCCGTCTGATAGCCAGCGGGTGGTGGAACATGGAAACTCAGCCTAGTCGCACCCCCTCCATATGGTCACAGCTCCACAGAGCCCAAGACAGATGTTTTTTCCCTCCTGGGACACTGAACCTCGGACACCCTGCAATCAAGCCGAAGCCAGAAGCATGGCTCTGCTGGAGGATGCGGGCTCCTACTTGTATCGTAGCCGTGGCTCATTCTGGAGATGAATCGATGAACTCCCACTCGCCGACTAGCCTCGATCACCTTCCCCTGACTTTGTTCCTCCAAGCCATACACAATGTTCGCACGTAAGGATCGGGCAAAGAGTACTGGATTTTGGCTCACCAGCGCTACCTACCAGGAGAGCAAAATAACAGGACATTTTGTTATTCCTTATGAGGATCCCAGTCAACAGCAACATTCATTCTCCCAAGTTTGGAAACAGTAATATTGGTGACACACCTTCATCGTATCACACCCCTTACCTTTCGATGCAGGAAATGATGCTCATATTCGCTCAGCTCCCGGCCGTCCAGCAGCACCTGCCCTTGCTGGGGCTCGTAGAACCTTTGGAGCAAGGCCACCACCGTGCTCTTCCCGGACCCCGAGGGACCCACCAGGGCAGTCACAGTACCAGGGTGCAGCTCTAGGGACACTCCCTGGAGGGAAAGAAGACCATCAGATGCCTTGGCTCTTGCCTTCTGGAAGAAGAGAACGCCACAGACCACCTTTTATCAAACTTAGATACAGCTTATTCATATTGCAGAGTTTTGGTTGGCTGGAATGGGACAGCTTTGGCTGGAATAGGACAGTGCTGCAAGATGCTCACGGTGGGGCCCCAACGTTGAACAGATCTCCTCACCATTGTTGCACTGTCCAGTTGCTTATTTCCCCCTCTGAGCTGAAACCATTGACAAGGAGAGGACTAAAAGTTCCCCTTCCTCCTTTGGCTCTCTCCAAGCAAGGAAACAAGCAACAGTGGAAGAAGGAAGGGCACAAGAGTCTGGGGGGTTCATACAGGGCCAGCCCCACCATTAGGTCAAGCAAGAGATGCTTCAAATGGATAAATCTTGGAAATGGGGAGCAGTGTATGAAGCCAGAGCTGCCCAGTATATAGGCTGCCCAGCTCCCACCCTTTGCTTCCTAAGTTTGTCTTTGGCCTTGATATGCATGGCCGGATGCCCCCCAATGTTGATAAAGGAGCTGTTTGGCCAGCCTCTGAACGTGGAGATGGACAAGACCACAAAATGGCTTCAGGTGGCCTTGGGGTCTAGGACTGGGCGTGGTGTGTCTCTGACCATTTAAACTCAGCTAAATCCCCTCAGGCCAAGTTAGATGGCATCACCTAGCCCACCTTGGCTGATCTCAGAAAGCTAATGTAGGTTGGACCTGGTCAGTACTTGGGTGGCAGACCACTAGGAAATCCCAGGGCTGTAGACTAGACTGGAAAGCTGAAAAAGCACCCCAGAAGGTGGCAACAGCAAACCACGTCCATGTTGTTGCCGAGAAAAGAACACAAATGCATCCATAAAACCACTATGAGTCGTGTTCATCTTTAAGGAAGCTTTATTTTTTAAAGACCCTCTAGACTTCCCTACAGGTTTCACTCCATAGTCCAGAGAGAAAGGATGGAGTTTCACCTCCTGACATCAGCTAAACTTTTGTTTTCTCTGGCTGCATTCAAACAACATACTTGACCAAGTCAGTGAACAACCCACAAGATGAAGAGTTTGGCTCCCTTTAAGCTGGGCTTAGTAAGTTGTGTGGACCGACCCTGTTTGACTAGTTTGTGGTTTAATGTATTGTGCAAACCCAAAAAATCAGGGTTATTCAGTAACAGAGTTAAGTGGTCACAGGATGGCAGGCACTCAGTCTTGGATAGCTCCCTTCATACCCGTCTTGGTCCCATCCCCACCATGAGGTCCTGATTCCCTTCTCAGAATCCAGTTCCCAGCACATACCTTCAGCACCAGAGAATTGCCATTGTTGGAGTAGGAGAATGAGACATCTTGAAGTACCATGTGTCCTTTTAAATCTGTGGGTGCCAAAGTCCCCGAGGGCTTGATTTGGGGCGTCCGGTTCATATACTCAAAAGCCTTCTCTGATGAACCAATGGCTTTTTGCACACGGGGCTGAGAAGAAAGGAAGGCCTGGGAGACATGGGAAACAGGCACTGTGAGAGGAGGGAAACATTTTGGGGAAGGGTCTTCGCACCTCTCTGGGCTTCCGGTCAGAGGCTGAGTTTCTGCCCCAGCGCTGGGCCAGCCACAAAACTTACCCGCAGCACTGTGGAAAGCTGCATCTCGTACAGGACAAAGGTAACAAGAGCCCCACTGCTCAGATTCCCTTGAGTGACCAGGTGTCCCCCATAAAAGAGAATCCCCACTTTGAGTGCCAGTCCTAAGACCTGGAGGAGAGAAAATGGGGTTTAGTGTGAAACTCTCTCCTACGTTCCCAGAGAAGCAAAAATATGCCACTTGCAGTTATATGCAGCTGGCCCCCACGCTGTTCTAAGGATTTTTGCGTGTGTCTTTGAGTCAGTCTTGATTCCTGGCAACTAACAAGCCCCTGCAGTTTTCTTGGCAACATTTTCAGAAGTGATTTGCCCTTGCCAGCTTCCCAGGGCTGAGAGAGAGAGACTGGCCCACAGCCGTCCAGCTGGCTTCATGCGTGAGGCGGGGCTAGAACTCAGTCTTCTGATTTCTGCCCCGTGCCTTAATCCACTACACCACAGACAGCGCCAAAGATTTTAGCGTGGGTTTGAGGGAAAGTAAGTGTCTTAACAAAATCCTTGCTGGTATATGTCCAGAGGGTGTGGTAAAAAAGTCAAGATG